TTCTTGGACTGGGCCTGTCTGCATTTGGCCAAGTCCTTCAATACCACTTGCTGAGCCAGAATGATATAGTCTTGCATCTGGGCAGGACCCCTCTGTCCAAGCCCTTCCATGTTGAGGGGATCACACTGGCAAAGGTTGCAGCTAACTTCAATAAGTCTTTTGATGGGGTCTTGCAAATCAGGCCCAAAGGTGCTGTTGGTTGCTGGAAGGCCAAGTGAGCACCAATGCTCCCAGAGAAAGGGTTTTAATTTAGAAATTCTATTGAGGTGGCCTGTTTTGGTGAATTCTTGGCAAACAGGGTGCTGAGTGGCCTCATGGCCCTCTTCCAAGCAGCAGAGAAACATTGTGGACATCAGGTACATTTCTTAAGAAGGCTTGTTGGAGCCATAAAAGGATGTGGGGGGCATAAAGAATAAACAGTATCCTTTTTTGTCTGTCTTTTTTTTTATAGAGGAAGAACAGAGGAGAAAAGAGGAGGTAGGTAGGCAATCCTGCTTTTGTCCAAGAAGCTCCTAGTTGCTACTTTCATGGTGGAAAGAAAAGAACTGAGGAAGTAATCATGAAGTGTGCGGAGCCGGCAGAGCCGGAGAGAAGAGCTTTTGAACCTAGAAGCTTCTGAACAGGGCCTCAGGCACTCTGACCCACATGTGTGAGTCATGGAAGCCATGATGAAGAACATGGATTTCTTGACTCATTTTAATAACAGAAATTGCTAGGTAGCATTTTTGTTGGACTCTGCTTAAATAAACAACTAATATAATTATGCAGACACATCAATATCTTTGTCACAGAATGGCTGTAGTCATAATGTAATTGTTTAGAGAAAAAAAATATCCTTCTTGCTTTTTCTGACTTTAGGGTATTCAGTTTGTCATCCAAAAAACAACTGTTTGCCGAGTGCTTGGAAATGTTACGTTTCTGGACTAAAAATCTGCTGAATCTCGCAGCTAATATGGCCATGCTAGCTGCAGAATTGCTGGCATTATAACTGGAAGCACATTTATTCTAACTCTATTTCTTTCTAAAATTCCCAGTGTGGTGTAGTGGATAAAGTGATGGACTAGAACTCTGGATAACAGGGTTAAAATTCCCACTCAGCCATGGAAACTCAGTGGGGGCTGGACTAAAAATCTGCTGAATCTCGCAGCTAATATGGCCATGCTAGCTGCAGAATTGCTGGCATTATAACTGGAAGCACATTTATTCTAACTCTATTTCTTTCTAAAATTCCCAGTGTGGTGTAGTGGATAAAGTGATGGACTAGAACTCTGGATAACAGGGTTAAAATTCCCACTCAGCCATGGAAACTCAGTGGGGGAACTCCTTCCCCATTATAACTGGAAGCATATTTATTCTAAATAAGGGAGAATATAACTTAAAGAGTATGCCTATTACCATTCTAACAACTAAGGATTTTTAAATGCTAAGCCAAAACTTATGGCATAGATCCCAGCAACCAAGACTTCTGTTTAAATTTATTCATGATGACCTTCAATATCTGACTTACTTTGAAAGCCCTATTAGGGTTGTTATAAGTCTGTTCCAACTTGACAGCACAGAAAACACTCTCTCTCTCTCTCTCTCTCTCTCTCTTCTTCCTAAGGGAGAATATAACTTAAAGAGGATGCCTATTACCATTCTAATAACTAAGGATTTTTAAATGCTAAGCCAAAACTTATGGCATAGATCCCAGCAACCAAGACTTATGTTTAAATTTATTCATGATAATGATTTATTCAGCTTGTTTGGTGTTAAATCTTGAAGTAAAATAGGACATTTCTGGAACAGATACCTTTGTGCAAGAAAAAAATGAATTGGTTTGCAAGGTGCAATAGAACATCCTTTTTTTAAAATGTGCACGTCCTTTATAATAGACTAGACTGTTGTTAAGAAGGCCAAAAGCATTGCACAGTAAAAGGGCTCCTGCAATCCACAGTGCATGCATGCATCTGAGGTATTTCACACAGTTGTCTTTTTGAAAGGTACTTCCCTACAACCTCTGATCGACAACAACGGAAAAGCTTAAAGTGGGATGGCAGGAGACCCAATTTTAGATTGGGCATGGAAGACAGACAGACGGACGGACGGACGGACGGACGGAAGGAAGGAAGGAAGGAAGGAAGGAAGGAAGGAAAGAAAGAAAGTACAACCTCTGATCGCCAACAACGGAAAAGTTTAACGTGGGATGGCAGGAGACCCAATTTTAGGGCATGGAAGATGGACGGACAGACAGACAGACAGACAGACAGACAGACAGACAGACAGACAGACAGACAGAAAGAAAGAAAGAAAGAAAGAAAGAAAGAAAGAAAGAAAGAAAGAAAAAGAATCTCTGCGGGTGGGTGGTATGAACAGAAGAAAATATCATTTGCACTGGCAGCACTTCCTCTTTATATAAGCTGTGCTTGGACTGAGATGGGGTGAATGGTGGGGTTTAAAGAATAGTCTGGTGGTTCAATAATGAAAACAAATCTTTCACAGAGATATAGGTGTGGACTGAGGGTCTTGGAAGATCAGATGGTTCCATAAAGCTTGTACAGTCTCACAGCAAACTCCAATCAGCACTTCAGAGGCTCTCAAAAGGTTATTTGTTCTGATGGATATGTTTTAAAAGCATAGTATGCTACTGTTAAACTTAAAAAAAACTATTTCCATGCGTTATTCCGTTCCTATGTGTCCTCTTATTTCTTTAGAAAAATGACTAAGTAGAAATTAGTATGGTTGAGTAAAAAAAATTGGAAGCAGGCAATACACGGAGTTACTTTATACTAATTTGTTATTCACCCCTCTACATTTATAATAATTCTAAATTCTTGCAATGAGAGTATATTGCCACAGATCTGAGAATTACTTATACCACATGCACATCTTGCATTCAATAATCAAACAGAAGTCCTTGTTGCAAAAGTCAATCTAGTTTTAATCCAACACATTACCAGAGGGAAAATTAACCCCCCATGGCCAAAACCCTGTTATGCAGTTCTGCCTGCATAACAAGAATGATGCTATTGTCAGTGATAAACTGCTGCCAATTAAATACTCCTTTTTTATTTCAGGATGTGAATGGTTTGTATGCAATCAGGCAAAGTTATGTGTACCCCAGAATAAAAAACAGAAGTGTTCATCACTGGAAGCTGCCCAACAGGATTAGGTACTTGTTATTCAGGTACTCATGTGAGAAGCAGCAAGCATAACCTCGCCTTCATTTAGTGACACTATTAATGTGTTTAGGAGGGCACACTGTATAAGTTATGATAAGCATAGTATGTCACCAAACTGGGAAAAAACTGTCTGGATAATGAGGTTATTAATCATCATCGGAAAGGTGTGACTGTTCCCAAACCTAATTAGGAAACATTCAATTGCCTTTCCGCAAGTGCAAACAACTTCCCTCCTCTCAGAATACTGAAAATCTAGCTATCACATATCTTCAAAAGCTTCAGCTTTCCTGTCACACCCACATGAGTTGACAACATGGAAAACTCACACAGAATTGGGGTACTGTAAAAAATATGTTTACATCATCATGAAGTATGCAAATAGTGTTTTTTCAAAATTATTTTTTACAACCTTTATAATTCTACTAGTATCCCTTCATGGTCTGAACATTTCACAGCAGCTCAGCTTGGTGAACATTTACATCTCTTGCAGTATGGAAAAGACAACTGTGGTGAAAGCTGATGGGTTGTTAATCACATCCCTTAATCATGAGAACTACTAAGAACACTGCATGCATTTGATATGCCCATATGTGCCATTGCATGCTACTGAGGATGGAAAATTCAGATAAACTACACATAATCCATGACAGGTATTGCAATAATAGGACACATCCTCTCGGATAGAGGGAAAGTACTCAAACACAGCATTCTCAAACAAACTCAGAGACCACAAGGTTGCAATCACGTGGACTTCCCCAAGTTGTCAGAAGATGCTAGGAATCAGGCTAATTTTTTAAAAATTGCTTTGGCTTTAAGGCATGACAATGGGGACGTGGTGGTACTGTGGGTTAAACCGCAGAAGCCTCTGTGCTGCAAAGTCGGAAGACCAGCAGTTGTTAAGATCGAATCTATGTGATGGAGTGAGCTCCCGTCATTTGTGCCAGCTCCCGTCAACTTAGCAGTTCAAAAGCATGTAAATGCAAGTAGATAAATAGGCACCACCTTGGTGGGAAGGTAACGGTGTTCCGTGTCAAGTCGCGCTGGCCCCATGACCACAGAAACTGTCTTTAGACAAAATTTTATTCTATCTTTTAATTTATGTAAATTATTATTTGTGATGTGGTTTGTTATATGTTTATTTTTTAACTGCATGTTGTAAGCCGCCTAGAGTGACAAACTAGAATCCTGAAGGCCACCAAAGGGGGAAAATGCCTGTGCAATTACTGTTGTGTGTCCTTTCCTGCATCAGAATTCTGGTCCTCTTGTTTGAAACAAGGAGAACCATTTTTCCAACTCAAAATCAATTCATTTTCTAAATACTGCAGAGAATAAATTTATGGAATGAAATCTCCCTCCATATAGAAAAGAAGCACAATCAGGACAGACTGTCTTTAAACTCTCTACAATGGACTGTTGTCCACAGGTCAGGCCAGTGCATATTCGTTTATACCCTTACTAGTTGGGTGTAATGGGGAAACAGGATAATTTGTGTCTGCAGTCCACTGTTGGAGCTTGACTGATGCTCTGTTCACTTGTAACAATAAATCTAAACTTAAACCTAAATGTTACAACAATTTCATGAAGTCTTCTTTATACCCTTTATATCCAAAACTTGAATGGGCAATTGCAGCCCTCTTTTTAACCTTTTATTAGGCTCTAGCTTACATAGTCAAAGATGAGATATGGTGGGAGCTGCAATCCATAAAATATCCTGAGGGCAAAAGGTGCCTGCTCCTGTTCCTAGCACGATCAAAAATCTAATTTACAGATCTAAGAACATGAACATAGAAGCATCATCTTCTTGTAAATGAAAGAGAATTAAAGTGAGATATTCAGTACCTTTATCGAGAGATGCTCCAGCCATGTGATAGAAACTTAAAGCAGTGTCCACATCATTTATATTTTTCAGAAAAGTGAAGAAGTTTTCTACCTCCTCAAATGTTAGTCCCTGCAATGAGAATGAAAATATCACCATCAGTTTAGAATTTTATCAAAGAACATTAATGGGAAAACTAAATCAAGCAAATTTTAAGTGCAATTTCACCTAACATTGGTAAGCCATAGAAAAATGGACTGTACTTGTTAACCTTGCTGCTGCAGCAAAAACTTAAAAGATTGGCAGACATTATTCCCATGGGTTCTTGATGTTGTTTTTCTGGTGGTGGATATTAACAATAATCATTAACTTCAGCCTTTTCCCAACATCTGCTAATTTTTTTCTATCCCACAAGGAACACATGAGATGGTGTGCTTAACGATGCTGCTTCCAAAAGGATGAAGGCAGCAGACTGGTGACTGCCTTATACTGCTCATTAATATGTGGTATGTTTGTGTGGACAACATCTGAGACTCAGAAGAGATTCCTAGTGTGTTGTGAGTTTTTTTTTCTTTTGTTTTTCTTAGTGCTGTCAGGTTACTTCCAACTTATGAGAACTCTAACATGGTTTCTGAGGTACATGAGATGTTTGAGGAGTGGTTTACCACAGCTACACTCAGCCTCAGTGAATTTCCATGGCAGAACACAGATACGAACCCAGGCCTTCCATTTGTTTCTTTAATTAATAACACCATACCACACAATATAGTTAGTGCAAGTACTGCCTGTGAATGCACATGTGTAAATTCACTTTTAAGGGAAGGAAGAAAACCAAAAAGTGATTGAAATTAAGTCACACCCATACATTCTCCTGATCTCAAATTCACCCTGGTGGCTAAAATATTTGCTTCTAAAATCAGAGACTCTGAAACTGAAAATTACAAGATGCAAGCTGTATAGTCTTGTTGTAACCTAGCTTCTAAATTTTAATACGGATCAGTTTGTTATCAAGCAATATCTCCGTCATGCTGTATGGATATCTTTCATTTGAAGCACTTTTAATATGGTACCATTGACAATTAAGAAATGAATACTTCTCTCCAAACATTACAATCCTCAACCTACTCAGTAAGCATAAAACTCCACTAAGAGCAGAGTCACACTATTGAAATAAATTGGGTGACGGATCAGGATTTTTGAATTTGGTTTAAAGTCATGTGGCAGTCACATGGTTTTTGGGTTAGTGCATGTATCCTCTTGGGAAAACTTTTAATCCATTTTTAAATTGTGTTGTATGGGGCTACATGGGTTTTATATAACTGCAGAGCTGGAAGGGACCCTATAGATCATCAAGTCCAGCCTTGGTCAAGGAGGCACTGTGTAGAATCAAACTCTCAACCTCTGCCTCTGCAGACAGATTCCTAAACCACTAAGCTATCCAGCAGTCTCACTGCATTTGACGTAAGGTAAAGGTTCCCCTTGACAATTTTTATCCAGTCGTGTTCGACTCCAGGGGGCAGTGCTCATCCCCATTTCCAAGCCATAGAGCCAGTGTTTTGTCCAAAGACAATCTTCCGTGGTCACATGGCCAGTGCGACTTAGACACGGAACGCTGTTACCTTCCCACCGAGGTGGTCCCTATTTATCTACTTGCATTTGCATGCTTTCGAACCACTAGGTTGGCGGGAGCTGGGACAAGTGACGGGCACTTACTCCGTCGCATGGATTCGATCTTACAGCTGAAGATCTATAGACTTCAGGGTTTAACCCGCAGCGCCACCACTGCATTTGAGGCTTTGTACTAAATCTGTTGACCCTCATGCTGAATTCCTCTCACATTGCTGCTGTGGTGTTACTGTATTTTAAATAATTTGTACATTTTAAAGTTTCTTGCAATCTGGCATAATGCTAGCACAGGATGACTGATAGAAAAAAAATTAGAAAATTGGTTTCCCTGCAGCCCAACACATGCACACAGACACAGACACTCACATTCTCTCTCTATCCCTCCCTCCCTTTCTCTTCCTCCATAGAGAGAGGGGGGTGGAGAAAGAGAGGGAGCAAGAGAGCTCTGGGGCTGAAACTAACCAGAGACACTGAGGAGGCTTGGGAAGAAGGAAGGTACATAGACTGGGGGTGGAGAAGGAGACAGTATAGGGAAGGGCTACCTGTGGCTGAAATTGACCAGACATTTAAACTACAGTAGATCAGCACTTCTAGGCTTGTGAAGGAAGTAGACACGCATGCACATATACAGGAGGTGGAGAATTAAGAGGGATCAGAGAAAGCACACCAGTGAGTGGCAAACCCCACAGACACCAAAAGAGGTGTTCACATATGCCAACATGAATGAAAATACTGTAAATCAATTTCAAAAGCAATTTAAAATAAACAACCTTCTGACAGCCAAGTAGAAGGCCTCGCTTATCAACAAAAAAACCACGCTTCCCAGGCCAAAAAAAAAAAATTGCTTCCATGTACATCATGTAGTCATCTTTTTAAAAACTGATTTCAAACATGCTACATGCAATGCAAATACAGTTCTTCTTCCAATTCTATCATCTCTCTCAAGATATTAGATCTATAGTTCTAAACAGAAACAGTAAATTCTCTCTTATGGAGATAAACAGCATTTCAAAAGAAAGGGACTCAATTTTACTTTTCTAATTAGTACTAACATCGGCCAGTACACAGCCAGTAGTGTTTTCTATACAATAAACTGTCTTTAAAGTCAGATGCAAAGAAATAAAAATGTTTAAACCCCGATACAAACCTTACTATGCTAATAATTCTTACTGAAATAAAAAAAATTATACTGCAAACTGGTTAGGTTTGGCCATTTTAAAATGATTAATTTTTCAAAGTTGAAAACCTGTTAATTATGTCTTGCTTCAAAGTCAATGTCACAAGCAACTAAAAAAGAAACCTAGAAATTAATTCCAATCCATGATGGAACATTCAGAATGACATTCTCATTACATTCAAGCCATGTATTGCATTATCACCAGATCTATTTCCTTTACAAGTTCAAAAGAAATGACTGGATATATGCAAACTAAAAGCCACAAGGGATTAGCAATATTCACAATTAAACAAAAAGATTCAATCTCTTGTCCACTGGTACTTTAAAAAAGAAAAGAAAAGAAAAGCAAAAAATACTGTTCAGTAGAAAAATACAATAACTACATCAGAGTAATAATAAATCTTGTTCAAGTGATATCAGCTTTGTCTCAAAGTTCAAGCACTGAATGAGAAGTACAGGCTTTCCCTTGCCCCCAAAGTTGGTCTGTTCTCTATGAATCAGGGAATGTTCCATACAACCAATAGCAGTGTCATACTATACAATGCAAAGGCCCTCAGAGCAACACTAAAAGTAAAACAGGATCACTTGTATATGGTCAGTCTATGTGCACAGGGGAGACTTGTGGAACATTGGTTCATGCACCTGTCTGCATGATATGATTTTTATATCCAACATATCTGACTTTTCAAACATGCCAGTGCAAACACCCTGTCTCTCTTCTATGCTTACACAGGTACTGCATTGGCTGGTTCAGAAGCCAACAACAGGACTTCCACTAGCTATGATACCAGAAAACAAGACACGTAAAGACACATGGCATGATTATTGAATGAGTGCAATCTACAGTGGTGACTCGCATTGCAACGTTAATTTGTTCCAGCGAAATCGCTGCTGAACGAAAACGTCGCAATGTAAAAATAAAAAGCCCATAGAAATGCATTGAAACCCCTTCAATATGTTCCTATGGGCTTAAATCGCACCGTTCAGCGAAGATCCTCCATAGCGCCGCCATTTTCGCTGCCTCTAAAGCGAGGAATCCGTCCCAGAAAACAGTGGGCGGTCATTTTGTTTACCCGGTGGCCATTTTGAAACCGCCGATCAGCTGTGCGAAAATGGGCGCTTTGCGATGATCACAGGGAACCAATCATCACAAAGCGAAAATACCCCATAGGGAACATCGCAAAGTGATCGCTTTTGCAATCGCAAAAACAGCGTCGCTAAGCGATTCGTCGCAAAACGGAGCAATCACTAGGCGAGGCACCACTGTACTTCAGTTTTGCTTTTGCATGAGAAGACTTTCAACAAATTGATGGAGGAACAGATAAGAGAGTGAAGTAATGTTAAAAATCAAAATACCTCCAGATTATAAAACAGGGCAAAATATCAATTATTTATGGCCTCCTCTTATGTAGCTGAAATAGGCAGGGCCAGAGACAGAGACAGAACACAACTCAAAACTCCAGGTGTAGGCAAGTGTCTTATTTTTTTCTTCACAAACCCTGGCAACCCTCCACATATAGAGGGCTTGTAGCCACTGAATTCCACAAGTGTAGACAAAGATCTTCTTTCTTGTCTGCAAACTCCTTAACAACTGCCTCTGAGAGAAACAAGACACCCCCCCCAAAAAAAGAAGAACTTTATAACAATCTTGAGGCCGTCCTCTTAAAATAAAGGGTTGTTGCACCTTTTTGTGCGGTGAGCATATTTTTAATAACTCAGAATGATTAGTCTGCAAGAACCTTAATGGAATGTGTCCATAGTCCCTTTAACAAACTGAGATCTCAATTGCAAAAAACGTCTATGAGAGGGAGGATGTGAGGATGGTCCTTCAGCCAAGTGGTCCATCTAACTCCATGATTCTAGGCACTGCAACTTGAATCAGAAGAAATAAATGCCCTGGAGGAAAGAAGGAACTATCATAAAATAATCTAGTGAGCTGTGAAATAGAGAGGTTTGACCTCTACATTTCTTCCAAAGTACTCATACTGTCACTTCCTCTGGCTGATCGCAAAAATTCTGTGACATTAATTCACTGCAATGTAGGGTGTGAGATGGATGAGTGGATTTCTGGGACCCAGGAGACAAGTAGATAGGAGCTGCTGCCAGCCCCTGCTACTGCATTGACATGCCCAGTATAACACCAGACCTTGAAGGAAAATGTTAGAAAGACAACTGCCTGTCCTCTTTCAGATGTGCTCAGTCATAGCATAAGAAGAGGATGCCTCCAGGCGAGATTATGGAATCAATGACGGAAAAAAAAATGCTTGTGCTAGGGACTTGCCTCCTGCATGCTCTGTAGCAAAACCCAAGTGCTATAAATTGGTTATAA